ATATTATAGAAATATATGGAAAATTGTGCTCAAATGTCTATATATGAGAAAAATAAGACATTTTCATAAAACTTGTTTAGCAGTCTTAACAATTTCTGGGAAAGAAATGAAAATTTCATATTCCTATATATACTAATGTAGAATCTATGGTACCTAAAATCAGATGGATTACAACTTTCTCCCACCCTATATATATACTTATTTTCATTCAGTACATAATTGATCAATGCCTGAAATTTGAGAAGAAGTGTACAATAAACAGAGAACTTGACCAACACATACACCTATCGTGCCCGTGGGCATGTGAACAAAACAAAGTAGCAAATTCACATTAACAGAATTGCAGAGAAACAGGACGAAACTGAGAGTTAAGACCAAGGCCTAGCTAGCTTAAACCGATACAAACTTACAAAAGGCACGAGTTTTTCCTCTTGAGCCATTGATCAATGCAGCCACAAAGTTACAACTACAAGCATGGCAAGCAAGCAACCACTTGATTGACCACAAAGTCTTCAAAGCATATTGGACAACTTGAAGTTAGAAGGTGCTTCATTTATCTTGACAGTCTTTACCCCAACATCCTGTGCATAATTACAGAGCAGCATGATCTTGGCGCTAGAATCAGCAACAAAACTGTCATATTCTGTCAAAAATGCAACTTCTGTTTTCTGTATTCTCATTAAACAAGCCATGTGATATTAGCAAAGCCACCTTCAGGAAATAGTAGGATAATCTATTGACCCTCACTCAAAAGTCAAAACAAAAGAATCGAGCAAACAAGTACTAGGAAACACTGCCATTTAGCATTGCATATTCATGTTGTCAAAACTGGAACTCTCTTGTGCCCCATAAATGCTTGCCGAAGCCTTTGCCATATGATATCCATTTCTGTAATGCTCAAGGGAGAAGCAAAGCTGTCTTATGGCTTCTCGTTTCTCTTCTGCTCCCTCCAGTATTTCGATTCTTAGCCTCTCAATCTCATTCTCTAGTTTGTTAGCTCTTGCTTGCATTCCCTCCACCAGTTTATGTGCTCCTTCAGCGCTAGCAATTAGCTCCACATGTTCCATATGTAATTGGTGCAGATGTTTGTTCAGTTGAGCAATCTGATCATCCCTACAACTAACCTCCGCTTTGAGTGAATCAATTTTGGTCTTGAGCTCCTCTCTCTCTGATTTTAAAGTCTCAAGGTTTTCATTTAAAATTTGAATGCAATCATCCCTCCTAGCAATCACAACTTTCAACTGCTTAATTTCACTGTGAAGCCTCTTCTCTGATTCTCTTTTTTCATTCACAGTTTTTCTAATCTCCTCCTCCAAGGAACGGCCACGTGATTCCCATTCTCTGAGCTGTTCTTCCAAACAAATCCGTTCCTCCAACAATTTTGATATTTCAGCTTTGATATGAGCTTTTTCAGGAAAAATCTTCTTCTCAGCATCAGAAACAGCAATCTTTAAATCCTTGATCTCATTATCCCTATCCGATAAACTATTCTTTAACATAGCAATTCTTTCCTGCAACTTGGAGACCTCTCTTTTCTCTGTATTCAGTTTGGATTTCCATGTGATAATCTCTCTTTGAGCCATATCAAGCTGATCCTGCAAATTTTGAATTTTTTCACAAGACTGCTTCTTCTCAAGCTTCAAACTAGCAATTTCTTTCTCAGAACCCTGGAGCATTTCTGTAGTGATACTCAACTCTTCCACTAGTGCCTGCATCGTGCCATCTGCATGTTGATTTTCTTTCTCTACACCAATTTTATTTCGAAGCTCTGATGCCTTATTTACCTCAATCTCCAGCTCAGTCTTGGGGATCTTGACATTTTCTTCTGATGAAGATTCAGACTCAGCTGTTTCCGGTGGTTTATATTTTTGGAGCTCAATCCTCAACCAATTGATTGTTTCCTCAGAGAGCTGTATTTTTGTATTAGCAATTTTCAGTTCTTCTTCATTCTCCCCAATTCTAGCAAGAAGATCAGAATTATCATTTTTTGCTCCTCTTAACGAACAATCCGTATTCTCTTCCTCTAACACCCGTAGCTTCTCTTTAACTTCACGGAGCTCAATCTCCAATTCAATCATTTTCCTACTCACCCCTTGATCACCCCGATTGCCTGATAAAACTGAGTAATTATTGACTGAGGAATCATCAGATTCTGGTTCAGAATCTGTTGGAGAAGATGACTCATCTCCTTCTTTCTGGTACACATCATAGATGCTCCCACCAGAACCTAGGAAGACATCGAAACCAGCAGCTCGTGGGCCAGATTTACGACGACTCAGCCTTTGATCTGGGGAAGGCCAAATAGAGGGCAGTTCAGAGCCAATGTCAGAGACCCCGGAACTCTGAGATTGGAGGTCAGACAGAATATTCTTCCTCAATTCTCCCGTCATATGATCATAACGCTCTGCCAAAGAACGATACAAGCGATAGAACTCCTCGACATGAGCAACAAGTTCTGGCCGCTTCTGATAATACATCTCAGCCTTTTTCGCAAATGAATCTGCATCTTCTTCAATCAGCTTCAACATATGTTTGACGCTACGATCCATTTCTGTAGTCAGCAATCTTTTTGTAATTTTCTTGTTCGACATATTGGCAAATCAAATGATTTCAGAAACAAAATCCTTGTTCTAATAAAAGATGCAGATGCGAATAAGCCTAGAATGTGATATGAGGAAAAGCAATGGGAGTGGCTAATATACTTTTGCTTCTTTTAGAACATAAACAAAGTCTTCATTTTAGCCAAAGAAAGGTCAAGTCCCAAAACCTTGCAACAAACTATTTAGTTCAACAAAATGTATTTCATTAGAATATTTAGCTCTTTATGCCCATACAAGAAAGAAAAGGAAACACACAAAAAGAAAACAACACTTGGCAAACATAGGAGAGGAATAAGATTTAAACCACATGTTTTTAATAATTCTTATTTCAGTTGCAACAAACTAAACAACATAAAACATATTGATATATTATTTCCTATAATTTTATGTTCTTTGACCAAACCCCCTTCCAAGTACACACACACACAGAGAGAGAGAGAGAGAGAAGAGAGAGAGAGATTGTATAAGTTGCAAGAATCCTGGAAACAGAAGGGGGTCTTATAGCGGCATCTTACTTACCCTCAAGATTTTCCGCAGCCACCTTGAATTCTTGGGGCTGATGTGGCTATCCCACCACCATGAATGTGACTTCCTGGATTCTGTTCTCTTCATAGTTTTAGTTAAATGAGCCTAAAAAGAGAAGAAAACAAAATTTCGTAACAAACATAAAAATACTCACTGCACAATTGATAATGCCAGAACATAGGATGGTAGAATAAAGTTGTTAGTTCTTTATCCGTCTGTTCTTTTTTGCTCGTGTGTGTGTTAACCATGGGAGTGGTTTAGTTCATTGTGCTCCATTTCAACAGTTATTTGGTGAGCCAAGAAAAAATCTCTACAGAATCTCTCTACATGGGACAAGGGTTGCTACCGTTAAAATTACAACTTCTCAGCTGTAGACTAGTATATTTTTTTAGAACAAGAAGGACAACAGTGGCCTAAACACTAAAACTTGCGCATCAAGAGGAAGCTATAAGTTTGTTATGTTGTTTAGAATGAAAGCACATCTTGTATTATTAATTCGTATAACAATGCTTATGTTGTTATTTTGACTAGAACCATAACATGGTAAAAAAAAAAGGACAAAGTTTTGGACCAGGAATGGTTAACCAGAAGAAAACCGAAATCATCAGATAGAAACTGTTTCACCAAAATGTATTTGATTAGTAATGGAGTAGATAGAAATTATAGAAAGGAAGAAATCTGAAAGCCCCGCCTGATCAATTTCTACGTCATAATATCTTGGAAGTGGCAGCACAAATCTAAATTATTTGACTAAGATACGGATAGACATAAAATGACCAAGAGGCCGATCTCAATTCCAGAACCCATAAAATTATTCCAAAATGGTTATTGAAATCGTCGAGAACAAAAAAAAAAAAGAAATAGTAGGCAGCAAAAGGAGGAGGCTTTGGATAACTTTCTGAAACCCTTTATTTGTTTGTTGCTTACTTGCCTTTGGTCAAGATAACAAGAGAGATAGAAAGAGACAGAGAGAGTGTGGAGCTGTGTAGAGAAAAGAAAGGGAGAGACGCTGTTTCTAATGGCCGCCTATTGTCGCATGGGCATGCAACAAAGTCAAAACCCACATCTTTCCTTTTTAACTCATTATTATTGTTTTTTGAAAATAATTATTAAATTTGATGACTACCATTTTTTTTTCTTTTTCAATAAATAAATAAATAAAAACAATAATAACTTTTTATGCTTATTAAATATAGAATGCCTGGGGGCTGGGGAAGATTGAAGCAGCAAATAGGGAAGGGAACAGTTCTACCTGTACCTGAATCGCCTCGTCCGGATCAGCTGATGAAATTGAATGAAAGAGTCAAAACGTTAGAGAGAGAGAGAGAGAGAGAGAGAGAGAGAGAGAGAGAGAGAGAGAGAGAGTTGCTTTCAAACATAACAATGTTTGAAAAGACTATGGTGTACGCATGGTTTGGGTTGTCTGGCGGTGCAACTTCTTCAATTAGTTGATAGCCGATGGACTCTGAATTCTAAAACAAGATAAATAAATATCAACCACTTCTTTCATTTCATTTTCGTCTTTCTTTTTCTTACTCCCTTGATGCGTCATTTTGCATCTAATGTTTTCAAGTACAGTACATTCCCACTAGGTTGTATGAATATGCTGACTATTGCCCATGCACTCGATTTTGCCATTTTAATCTCACGGTTTCTTTCAAAGGGTTGGTACTTGGTTTGATAGCCCATAATATGCCTATGCCCAATAAAATTGAAGCTCTAAATACAAATATTATGTTACCCAACCTCCAATCTCCATTCTTTGAAAAGGCATTACACCACGTAAAGATTTTTGAATCATCCAAATCATTAAAGTCCTTATTGCAATCATTTTTTAAATCCATAGGATAGAAGCTTTGTTAAACTAGCATCTGATTTTAGCCAATTCTGGCAAACCAAATTTCTTTTCACCCAAACTTTCAACTCTTGAGACACAAAGATACAAAATCCAAATAATTAAAATCCCCCCCCCCCCCCCCAAAAAAAAAAGGGCTTGTCTATTCTCTATAATAGTAATACTGGGGGAAAACCCGGTTGAATGAACCCTCCTTGACACTACTCAAACTGCGAAACATGACTCTCGACAAGCAAACATTACTGACTGACCCGAGGTTTGAACAAACCTCGACAAACACTCAAACCTAATGACGCAAAGGACCTCAACCATTCCAGCCCACCCATCTAGTTTCATCCGCAGGAATATGCCAAGACATGGGTGGGGAGGTGACGTCAGGCGGCTAATCTCACCATATTCGCCAAAAGCATATGGCATGCAAAACAAAACCATCCCCCTTTTTTAAGTTGAGGGAGCTGGCTCCCCATCTTTCTTCTCATTATCAGCTTTTTCTGCATTTTCTTTTGTCTCCATTTCTTCCTTTGCTGCAACAGCCTTCTCCTCTCCAGCTTTACCCTCAGTTTTCTTTTCCTCAACGCTCAACTTCTCAAGTAGTCCAGCAGCAGCAGACGCATCTTCATTTTCCTCTTTCGGTTTTTGTGACTCAGCAACTTCTTGGCACATTTCCATAAAGGTTTTGCAATCTAATTTTAAGAAAAAGGAAAATCAGTAAAAACCAGAAGGCTTTGTTCCCCAAAAGGAAAATGAGAATTGTCAAATAAAGGGAAAAAGAAAGCAAATTCCAAAGAACCAATGTAGCCATCTATAACCACAATGTAAACCCATCTACGTTAACTGTTTCTGTTATTCTCATGACACTTTTTTATTGTAGTTCACAAAAGAAATAATAAAGCCAACTATAAAAACTTCAATGAAACATGTATCATGACATATCAAGCTCTCAGATATAGTTATTACATTAAAGAGACCAGATCATATATGCAACTATTTCTATTAACTTTGCCTAAAAGACTCATAAATTCAGCCAAAGGATACAATTATACACTATTACACCAAGTACTTAGAAATTAAAAATATTCAATAATTCAATGCATATTGCTAGTACGCAAGCAACAACAGTTAATTTTAAAATTTCTTCAATCGGACATCCTAGGATACCTTTCTTATTTAAATGACATTTTGCCATCAATATGAAATTAAATTTAACTTTATACTATCTTATTAGTTTTCCAAGCAAAGAAATATCAAACCCAAGAAAAACACTAATGCTAACATGCGAAGATAGTTCAAATTGCCATCATGGAAATCCCTAACTCTATCAATAAAAAAATTCCCTAAAGTACAATTCAAACTCAACTTGGGCTACCTGAGTAATGTGAAAAACTGACATTCACGGCAACTTTGAAAGAAACAGGCCTATAGTATTAATCAACATTTAGGTGTAACAGTTATTCTTACTAATATTTCTTATTTCTTCATATATTTTGTTATTTGCAGTTTTTTTCACTAACCACTAAAGGAGAACAGAATTGCCCAAAAAGGTACAAAAGGAAAATTTTGATAAACCATTGCAGCCATATATAAACACAAACAAAACCATCTTAAATAACTATTATTATATTCTCCTAACACACCTATATGGCATCATTAAAGGGAAAAATCAGCAAGAATCTGCCTCGTATGCTTTGATCAATGTTAATAAAAGTGAACACAGTTTCTCACTTCATGTCAGAAATTTGTAAAGTTGCAATGCAACCCATTATTTACACCAAATACTTATTTGAAACTGATACCAGCACAAGCATAAACCTTTGAATTATGTACAATCAAACATTCATAAAGTCAATAAGAGAACCAAATTTTGGTAAATATTACAACTATTAACCGAAATGCTAGTCACTAACAACTTGAAGAAAATACCAATGCTCAACTCTCAAACATTCTATTGGTTACTAAACTGTAATTGGTAGCTCCAGATCTTAGACTAAATAAAGAATTGAAACAACATTGATTCAATTTCATTTAGCAAATAAAAGGAAGCAAAGTGATTTAACGTAAAATATACTTACTTTCCACAGATGCAAAACGAATGCAGAAAAGTTCATCTTTCAGCTCACCATCTGCAAAGTCAGAAGCGTGCCATAAGCACGATTTGTCGTTCCCTGAGTGCTCCTGCACCATCATAGTCGGCAACACTACACAAATATTTTTTAATAAAATTATGAAATAAGAAAAAAAAACAAAAGGAAGCATAAATAGGATTGAGGAAAAGAAAAATAAAGAAGAGAACGAACCGAGATGATTGGCGCAGATCTTGAGAGTCTTAGATTGCCTCATAACAAGGCGAACTTTTCCGGTCTCCTTGTGCTTCAACAGCTTCACAGTACCAACGCCTCTCTCTTTCCATTGATTCCCGTCTTTATCAAATCGGTAAAGCTTCGACTTCCTAACAAATAAAATAAAAATAATAGATATTCAGATCATTCGAATTTGTAGATAAATCGGAGAACATTTGAATCGGAAATATAGAAAAGAGAAAATTACAGACAGATCGAGTATCGGATCTTCGTTTTCCTCGCCGGTGCTGACAGCGACTTCCTCGAGCTTGACGATAGGGGCGACTTGAGCTCCGGTATCTTCATCCTCGGCAGCGGGGGCTACCTCGTCTTCTCTGGGTTCGTGATCGGGCTCTTTGCTTGCCATAATTGCTTTTTGAGAGCGAGGTGTTTGGTTTGTTGATGGTGAAAGATATTTGGGGCTAGGGTTTTTATATAAAGGAAGGATGGCAGTTGTGGGAGTGTGAGAGAGGAAGAAATTGTTTGTTTTTTATTGTGGGAAGGCGTTGAAAGGAGGCGTGCGGTTTCGACAATAACGAAGGAAGGGAGGGTGTTTGGGTGGTGGGGCGGCTTTATTTTATTGGGGAGTAGCCTTTTGCTGGTTAAGGAGCAGTTCGAGATATTGTTACACGAATTAGGTTTTTTTTTTTTTTTTTCCGAGTAAAATAAGGTTTTTCATTTAGGAAGAAAAAACATGAATCAATCTAATAAGTATAATGGTATTTAAGCATATTATCAAATTATTTTTTATTCTTTGGTATTAGATTTGTAATATTATATTTAATTATTTTTATTTTAGATTAAATTATTCAACCAAAATTTTTATCCAATTTATACTAATATTTTAACACAAGCGACAAGAGTATTTTCGATTCTATAACACTTCAAATATAATTCATTTAAATCAAATATTATTTACCATATATGTACAGTAACTTTAAAAAATGTACAAAAAACATAATATATATCAAATAAAACAAAGTCTGAACGAACTTAAAATTAAATTTTAAGAAGTGCAATAAAAATAAGGATTAAAAATAATTCATCTGTTAAAAAAAATATATTGATAAATTTTAACCATGAAAAATACTCTGTTATACTGTAGGGGAGAAAAGACAGTGAGTATAAAATTTCGGACTCCTAGAACAAAGCAATTAGGTATCCGAGCAATTAACTAAATAGAAAATTGTATAGTGAATGATTAAGCTAGAATAACCTATACATGCCGCGGACTTGCCACAGCTCCATCGAATTTGTTCAGTCACCACTAGGCTGCATAAAATTTTGTCAAAAACCTAACTGCTAACGTTATCGACTATGGGACGTTATCGACTATGGGGTTAAGCTGCATTAATTGGGCAGTAAATAATCACCCCCGCTCATTACCAGATGCATTACCAAAGTACGCAAGCTATCACCTCAATATTTCACAACCACTGTACAGATCAATTTCACATTCAAATGTAAACTGGAAATTGTGGGCACTTGGGAGATTCAACCTTGTAGAAGTTGACAAGTTTCTTGCTTGTGTATCCTAGTTTCCTAAGATATCAATAGGAGCCCATTGGTGGCATGCCACATGGGGCCATTGGAGGCATCCCATCCCACTCATTGGAGGTGATGGAGCAAAACTTCCACCCATTCCAGGTATTGGCGGCGCAGGTAAAGCAAGAGGCAGCAACTGGGCATACATAATCTGCAGGTGACAGCATTCGAGTGATCACACTAATCTGAATTGCTAAATTCTTTATATGGCAGGAAAATAACAAGAGTTTCTAGCCCATTTGCAGTGATGACTGATGAAAGTGCCTACTTTCTTTTCTCCTTGCCAAGGCAGCAGCGCCTCGTATCAGCTATCAAGAAGCCAATAGTGACCATTAGGTGGTTTTCTTCCTAAGTTCTTATTCAAGGTTTAATTGACATCCTGAGACATGACGGATAGTTTCTGTGTGAGCAAGCATAAGACAATGAAAACAGCTAATTAGTTCTTGACCACCAGTAAAAGTGAGTAGTGACACCTAAAAGCACCCAAGAGTTTTGCAGTTCTTTCAAAATCTCCTACTTTGTAGCATGAAGAAAAGATATAACTTTCCAGAAGGAGGAAACACACCACTCCATTCCTATCCCTCTTTCTCCCTGAGAAAAATTTGTAGGCAAGAAATCGAAGAGATTTTGCATATAGCTTTACCTGCTGAGCAACCATGTCTTTCTCCTCCTCCTGTTTGGCTTTCACCTCATTCACAGCTTCAATTTTATCTTTTATCAGTTCGTCCACGTTGCCTGTGTACTCCCGTATAAACTTTATTGGGAAGAAAAAAACCCAGAAAAAGAACCAAGCAAAAAGTTTGAGGATAAGAACTTCAAAACTTAACTAACAATTAGAACTAGTGACAGAGGGCGGAAATCACCTGCAAAAGATATGGAAAGGCAAAATCAATCATATTATTCACCCAGGCAAGCTCAAGAGCAACATCTGGCCTGATTACGTCATAACAAACAAAGAGGCACGCCGCAAAACACTCTTTCTTTCCCTACATTAGACGAGATAAAAATTTAGATTAGTGAGTGGACTCAACTTTGGTAATTTCCTATATAAGATAAACAGAAAAAATAGGTGAAAGTAGGCCCGTCTAGCACACGTATGCATGAAAAAAAAGAATAGAAAAAATACCTGCTCAATGAAATAGGCAAGCAATTCCTCCGCAAGTTCCCGATCACCTGACTGTGAACACGTTTCCATGGCATCTCTTTAAATATTGTCCTTCTTTGACAACGCAATAGACTGCTTCCATCTCCCTGCCTTCTTATATACATAAGCAGCAACACGCCTCATCTCAAGAAGTTCGTGCTTCTCAATCTGCTCATACAAACCATTCTCTCTTGTAAAACAATCCCAGTCTTGGTACTTTAAAACAACTAAAGTTTAACACAACACACGAAATAACTAAGGTAGAACCCCTCACCTTCACCGTCTGAGCAAGGCCTATCTGATCAAAGTTATCATGCAGATCTATAGATTCACGAAGCCTGTCATAGTCCTCCTCCTCTACATAAATCTCGTCCATAACGAGATGGACTTTACTGGTGTTATAATTATGAACACTGAGTATACCATTTTCAAGAATCCGTGTAGTTATACACAGAGTCAAAGAACGAAGCCGAGTAGTATTAAAGAAGAATTTTGTTACTAATGAGATGGACTTTACTAGTGAAATAATCATGAATGATCAATATACTGTTTTGAAGTCACCCTCAGGGTTGAGACAGAGTTGTTCTAGTTCAAAATTGAAAGAAGTGGAAGGAAAAGGAATTTGTAAAAACTTTGAGGAAAAGTGTTTGATATCAGGATCGTCATCTGCTTCAAGGGAAAAGGATTCCAGCATTGTAGAATTGACTTCAACAAAAAACGTCTACCAGAGTAGTCTGGATAAAAGTAGTGCTGAAGCAAAGAGGGAAGCCCATGCTGACAAGGCAGCAGCATCAAGTGAGACTGTGCTTAAGTCCTCTCTTAAATCTGCAGGAGCAAAGAAACTTAATCGCTTTGTTACTTGGGCTGATAATAAGAAAGTTGACAATGCTCTTAGTGGCAATCTTTGTGAAGTTAAAGAAATGGATACGCTGAAAGGAGATTCTGAAATATGTGGCAGTGCAGAAGATGGTGATGATGATAATATGTTGCGATTTGTATCAGCAGAAGCTTGTGCTATGGCATTGAGCAAGGCAGCAGAAGCTGTGGCATCTGGAGATTCTGATGTCACTGATGCTGGTAGGTTTTTGTGTGCTTTCATTGAATTTAATATAGTTTGAATACTGCATTTAGTGACCATAACCTCATTTTGTCACAAAAAATATGTACAGTTTCTGAAGCTGGGCTTATCATATTGCCATGTCCAAGTGAGGCAGACAAGGAGGAGCCTGTGAAGGATGCTGATGTGCTTGAACCAGACGTAGCCCCCGTAAAGTGGCCAACAAAACCTGGGATTCCACGTTCTGATATGTTTGACCCAGGGGACTCATGGTTTGATGCTCCGTCAGAAGGTTTCAGTTTGACCGTAAGTCTCATAACCCTAACAACATTACCATATTATTTCTCCATTTTTTTATAGGGTTAAAAACATTGCCATATTATTTCTGCATTTTCTACTTATGTTGATTGCTTCTCCTACTCTTTTTGATGTCCACCCGCTGTCAACTTTTGCAACCATGTGGAATGCTCTTTTTGAATGGATAACATCATCTTCTTTGGCTTATATCTATGGAAGAGATGAAAGTTTCTCTGAAGAGTACCTAACAGTTAATGGGAGGGAGTATCCACAGAAGATGGTCTTACGAGATGGGCGTTCCTCTGAAATTAAAGAAACTCTTGCTGGCTGTATTTCTTGTGCTTTACCTGCTATTATTACTGATCTCAGACTGCCAATACCAATGTCTACTTTGGAGCAAGCAGAGGTACTAATTCTGAATTTGGAAATGGTTAATCATATCGAGAAAATTGATGATAATTCTGATTAGGACCTTAAGGACATTGAACTGGTTTATTTAGGAGGTTTATTGTGATTGTAAGATCATTTTTCAAGCCATAACTTCTACTTTTGCTTATTAATGAAAGCATTTTTTACCAAAAAATTTCCTTGCACTTTGCATAATCTTGAGTTGAGTTGCTTCTGAATGTTCTCTAAATGTTCATTTATACAGTGGCGCCTACTAGGCACAATGTCTTTTATGGAAGCGCTTCCAGCATTCAAAATGAAACAATGGCAAGTAATTGTTCTTTTGTTTGTTGATGCTCTTTCTGTATCTAGAATACCTGCCCTCACTCCACACATGACTAATGGGAGGACAGTTCTTTATAAGGTGAGGCTTTGAGATTGTAAAGGTAGTCTCTTGGTATTGTTCAATGTAAAATTATAAGTTGAATTCTTGAAATGTTCAATGTATTAATTAAAGCTTGATATCTATGATGATTGCTTAGGTGGTTGACACAAGAAAAACAAGAGTTTTTGTGATATCATGATATGCATGATGACTGCTGTCTTTGTTGGTTGCAAATAGGTGCTGGATGGTGCCCAATTAAGTGTGGAAGAATATGAGGTTATGAAGGATCTCACAATACCACTTGGCCGAGCACCTTATTTCTGCACAGAGTGGTGTTTGATGTTAGAGCGAAGTCATTACTCCTACTCTTGCTGATGGTATTTGGATAATGTATATAACTCCCTTATTTTATTTTCCTTGGAAGTTGTCAAAAATTATTCCAAGATGCACTCATGGACATCCTAGAAGTATAATTAGTTTGTTTTTGTCAATGTATGATGGGAATATGGAAATATGTTAGGTGAAGGATTGAATTCTCTTGTGTTTTTATTTTATATTTTATGGGTTCAATCTTAATTTTAACATATATATTTAAGATGATTTAGGGTATTTTAGATTAGTTATTGTTTTACTCATTTTCCAAGTGGTAAAGCTTAAAAGTTATATTTAGTTTACGTTTTTACATGGGTTTAATTATAAATGTTCATGTTATTTTAAGTTTCTAGGAGGCTTAGATTATGAGATAAAGATATTGGTATTTTGATTTTGTAGATTGATATTTTTGATATCTGAGTATGCCGTTATTGATATTTGAAGATTTTGGTCGAGAATTCAAATTATTCCTTGAGTACTTTGGTTTGAGACTACTTGTTTTTTATCACTGTCATTTTGAGCTTAGATTTGATTTTCTTTCCCACCCCATTAGCTACCATCTATGATGCAAAATCTAGGCATTGATTTCTTCATATATATTTTTTTCTTTTATTGAAATAAAGGATTTGAGTTGATGTTATTAATTATATATATATATTATATATATCAATAGCAGCATTTGCTTGGTTTCTAGGCTTATCCCTTAATCTTGTTAAATTTTCTCCCCCGAACCTCCTATATACTTAATGTGCTGTGTATTGACATTGTTGATCATTTTTCAATATGTGATAAGTATTGTTTGTTAATGAAAGCTTATTGTATATGTTGGAGGTTGTTTCTTTTAATAAATTAAAAGCCACGAGTTGTTGATTAATGGCACAAGTAATTTTGATTTCACTATTCTTTCCTTTTCAGGTTTTGCTAGGAGTGAAAGAATTATATATGCTAAGAAATTCAGCTGTATTTACAATCTTAAACAAGAGCTCTTACTAAATTTTAGTAAGATACAAGTTTCATCACTAGTTCAGGCAAACTAAATGTGTGTAATGTGAAGCTATTTCTTGGCAAAAAAAAACTGAAGCTACTTTTTCAAGGATAGATTGTGGGAAATTTTATTTCAACAGTGTATTTGCTTTGAGGAAATAGTGCAGTTTGAATGCATAAATATGTTGGCAATGTTGAATATAATTTAAATTTAATTAATTAGATGTAAAGGAGACATAATTTGTCCTTGGTTAATAAAGATGAATATAGGTTGTAATTGTATTTGGCAAATAGCAAGTGAAGACTATACTCTGTAAGCCTCGGTAGCTTATTTATAACATTTAGTCCATCGGTTTGTAAATTTTCTTTTCCCTCGCATTAAAACACATATCGCATTAAAATTTCTTTTTCGAATTATTTAAAACATTTTTTATTAAAAACACTTTGAATAATTATTTCATAAAAATTTAAAATAAAATTATTGAAAATATTTTTGATAAAAAATATCTTTAATAATTTCATTAAAATTTTCTTTTGAGATTATTTAAGGTATTTTTGTTTAAAAATGCTTTAAATAATCCTTTCATAAAAATTTATAAGGAGATTATTTAAGGTATTTTTTGTTAAAAATACCTTAAATAACTTTTATTAAATTTTTTATAAGAAATTATTTAAGGCATTTCTTGACAAAAATATTTTCAATAATAAAAAAGATTGGTATTAGATTATTGAAGATATTTTTAATAAAAAAAAAACCTTAAATAATTTTTTACATTTCTAACAAAAAATATCTTGAATAATTACTTCATACAAATTTATAATTAAATTATTGAAGGTGTTTTTGATTAAAAATACTTTCAATAATTTTATTAAAACTTTTTTTGAATTATTCAAGGCGTTTTTATCCAAAAGCACTTTCAATAATAATAAAAAAAAATTTCAAGAGATTATTAAAAGTATTTAAAAAAAAATACATTAAATAATCATTTATAAAAAATTTAATGAGAGTTAATCATTTCTAATAAAAAAACCTTTAATAATCATATCATAAATTTTTATGAGATAATTATTTAAGATATTTTTTATCAAAAATATCTTGAAAGTATTTTTAAAGCCAAATACTATATATAAACTAAATTTTTTATCAACATAAATTTAAAATTAATTTACATTTATTTTCAATATGCTTTTCAAAATAATAACAATTATTTCAGATGTTTTATTCAAATTAAATTTAAAAATAATAATACTTTTTTTCTCGAAATCTTATAATATCATAGAAAAGTGAGTTTTTTATTTCGAAATTTTGAATACTATTAAAAATATATTAAATATTTTTAAAATCAAATGACCTTAAATTAAAGGCTAAAGTTAAATATTCAATAATAAAATTTTAAGAGAAAATATATGAATACACCAATAAAATATATCTGAATATTTTTAAATTACACAAAAATAGGTGTAATAAATTACAAAATCTGTAAAATCTAGACTCCCCCTTCAGCACCGTTAACTCCAACTTTTGTGAGCCATTTCGACAGCTGGAACCAGAAGAGCACTCGGACCTCCACCCACCGCACCGTAGAGCACGACTTGGCGAATTTAACACTCTCACATCCTCGTAGTTACCACACTGCCACTCAACCGAGTTACTACTGTCAAAACAATCAGAAAATTCCAAATCTGTCCTCTCAATTCCTTGCCTAATTCCCATCGAACCCGAATTTACCGAATTTGTCCCCTCTGTTCCCTTCTCTGTCCTCATCAACTCAGGATATTCCGTACTGGTTCCTTCCTCACAATTCACACCTGATTCACGAGCGTAACTCCTTGCCGCCACCCATCCATCCGATTCCCAAATTACCCCTCCTTCCGTCGCTAATTTATCGATCCTCTCCCTCGCCGATGCTTCAAAGTTCTCCGCATCTGCGTCCTCTTCGAAATGCGAGCTGGCGAAATCGAGCACGCAACGTGGAGATGATTCCCCGATCATATTCAGTGCTGAAGCCGATGCTAAAAATGGGTGCCGCTGCAGCTGATCGCAGCTCCACCTTTGATTCCAATTCCTTCTCAAACACTTCTCCACGAAATCCTTACCAAGCTCAGAAAACTGAGTCGGTAAGTCGGGCAATTCATCCGAGTTAGCGATTCGATTCAGTGAGTTGAAACCTTGATCATCCCAAGCTGGCTTCCCGGTGATCATCTCGATTACGGTGCAGCCTAAGGACCAAACATCACTCTCCGGTCCTTGATACTCACCGCGAATCACCTCCGGAGCCATCCAGAGAGGGCTTCCACGTGGCGTGATGAGGGACCTACACCTGTCATCCGCGTCATCCCTTTTAATCTTAATCGCTGAGCCGAAATCCGCGAGCTTTACGGAGGTGAAATCAGGGCCCACCAAAACATTTTTCCCTTTCACATCACAGTGCACAATGCCTTCACCGTGCACGTACTTCAGAGCCGAAACTAAGCACCGCGTTTGCCACCTCAAAATCCTCTCATCCATGTCAGCCAACCGGCGTTTAATAATCGCCACATCAGCAACGGTGCCACCTGGCAAGTACTCCATGTGAAGATTCCGGTAAGACGTCGTCGGGGACTCATACCTGGTAACATCATCGCCGAGATACTCAACGACATGCGGAGAGGAAAGCGAACGTAGGATCCTAATTTCGTTCTCCAAAGACTCCCACTGGTTCGGAAGACACGTTGCTAAATCGACGGACTTAACTGCGAAAACGGTGTCTCCTGATTCGTTGATTGCCAAGCTTACAGTACCAAACGAGCCTTTGCCTAAACACTTCCCTCTAGTCCAAGAAATTCTCTGGGTGTTGCTCTGTTTCTCCATCTCTGAAACTCAAAATCTCTTTCTTTTTTCTCTGTATCTTTTTGGCGTGTGTTTTCTGAGGGCCCAAATGGGTATTTAAAAAACGAAAGCTAAATATTTTAATTATTATATCAAGTTTTACGTGGAATTTATAAATGGATAATTCGGAAAACAGTTTGATTATGTCATAGAGCTAGGAACCGGGCTTGTGTTTTGACGTACAAGGGATAGTGAGAAGAGTGGAGGATGATTCTGGGTTTTATCCTTATCTGAGGGCCATGTGGGTTGGGGAGCATTGGTTTTTAACTTGCAAGATTTGTTCTTGCCATTGATTGGTTGTCCGGGAATTTGGTGTATTTTTTAACATGTGGTTGTCATGGTAATAGCTTACGTGGAAAGCAAAATTTTTTGTGAGCAATAGAATATTTCCAAAACCACACGCCTAAACCCTGTCCCAAGTATTTCTGTCCCTCTGATTTGTTTACTTGTATTAAATTACTATAAACCACTCCTAAAATCTTTTATTTTGTCTAAAAAGCAAATTTTGTAGTACTAACAGTGATGATCTCCACCTGATAAATGAGTTGTTAAGCTAAAAATTTGAAGATGATGGATGAAGTAGAGGATCAGAAGGGAAAAACAATGGAATAAAATATTTAGAGGTGCTAAGTTGGTGACCAAAAGGCAGGTCCACTAGGTAGGGTCAGGGTGGCAGAGTTTCGCTTTGAAACCAAACAAATGCACGTCGGGCCTAACGATCAGCTTACATGGCAGAAAATGGTAGGTACTCGTCGCAACAATAAGCACCTTGAGGCTGTTCGTTTAACACAGATCTCCGACAAGCAGTCTCAATCACCCCCACGATGCCTGTGTCTGGCTTTTGCAGTGAGAGTTTGAGTACAAGTCTGTTGACGTGCACCACAGGCCTCCATTAAATGGATTTATGTTAAAATAAAATTATAACTTTATCTATCAAGGCAGTACCAATCGAATCTTTTGAAAGATCAGTATCTTTGGAAACCTATCATGTACAGTATTAAAGAGTACCAAAAACTTCCCCGAAATCAAGTTGGGGCATTCTTAAAGATGTCCCGACATTGGATAACTACAACAATTTCTTTGCTCAAGGGAAAAGGAAAGGGGAAGGGAAAGAGAAAAGAGAGAAATTTTTGTCCACGTAAACTTGAATCGGCTAAAACCAAGGGAACGGAGCAAAAGGGAGCCCCCGATTATCCGTCTAATGCTTTAAAAAGAAAACGGAAAGAACATTTTTCAATTGTGTTTGATTAATCACTTAATCAAATGTATTTGTATTGTGCTAATAGGAATCGAAGCAAATGATTAAAATTTAAATTTGAATATAAAATATGTAAGTTTAAGTTTTTATGAATTTTTGTTGATAAATAATTTATAAATTTTAAAATTTTAAAAAATTTATAAATCTTACGAATAAATTGATGAGTTATTCTAAATTTGAAGATGAAATAACTTTTTATTTTTAAATTAAAAGAAATCCTGTGTATTGGGGTTCAGATTCGAGGGAGTGAGCTTATTTGGTTGTTGTCGTGTTTGGAATGGAAAGCTCCTTTGGTAAATACCAATTAATGAGTATGTGGCTCTCATCGGGTGATTAAAAAGATTTTCTTCACTGAATCCATATCCATATATATTGGAGTTTATCGAGTATTATGCGCACGTGATACTTATCCAAACCTCAAAAACTTCAAAATTGATTTCCATGTTGACCAAATCCAACACTATCGGCTTTTACCAATTGTAAGAAGTGAATTAGAATACTTCTACCGGCACTTTCATAAGTCTTGATAATCTTATACCTTTTTTTTAAAAAAAAAAAAACTTATAATTACATCATCATTTCGACACGTTAAAATTAGAAAGTATATTTTTTAATTCAATTGTTGGATTATACCACAAGGTCATCCTTTTTAACCCTGCAATCATATGAAGAGATATTTGATTTGATCTCTTGTCTTTTACTGTTATTTTTATTTTTGGTGTAATAAATCATCTCTTAGTCTTTAATACAATCGTGTAAAAATTTTTGATGACTAAACTAGTTAGCATCCTCGTCATTCAAATTTATGCTATTTTTTTTTTAATAATGTTATAAGTAGAATTTAGATAAATAAGTTACAATCCAATTAAATATTATATTTATACAAAAAATAATTTAATTGAATCAAACAAATTAATCAACTAATGAATCAATACATAACCAAACGAAATCTCGTGAGAATCAGTACTCTAACGGGACGTTACCATAGCTAGAACCTAATTTCAAATTCAATTGATAAAAACCTCAAGTGTGGCATTATTTCTGAAACAAATAGCCGACTAAGTTAGTTAGGCAGGCAGAAAAACTGCGGGGTTTGCTCCACAAAGAGGCAAAACATTAACCGGCTGGTCGACAGTATAACGTGCATGAAGAACAAACCCTTCCATTTTGTGCGGCTGACAAGCAAACCTCATTCCTTCCAATTTGATGCCTCCTTTTCTTGAGATTCATGCACAAACCAAAAAATAAAAAATAAAAAATAAATCACCAGTTGTTGCAGATCACATAAATAGATACTTCCTTCAGTTGCTATTGCTTTCAGCCTAACTGTAACTAACTTTCTGTATGTTGTGCCATGCAATTCTGGAATCACGTGAGCTTTTTTCTAGTTTGTGAATGTATCAAAGTCAAAACAATTCGAATGGATTTTGTTGTCCTTTAATCTTCATAATTGCTCCATCGTGAGCAGAGTTAAAGAATCATTCTTATCTCCTCAAAAACAGTTTAATGACAATAAGAAAATTGTAGTAGAGCTTGTCATAGACATTGCATGTGTTTTGGTTTGACATAAATTAATAAGTTCCAATACTTAAAACACGGAACATGAATATATGATGCAAACCAACAAACCCAAGTTGCTCTTTCCACGAAAGAATATTGCAGTATTGCCTGGAACATGTGATGTAGTATTAAAAAAAAAAAAGTACTTGGACATTTGGTCGTTCTCATGTGCTATTTGTGGGTCAAATTTAATGAAAGGGTGAAGGGGTCCTACTTATACAACCGATCACTAAACATGAAGATATGAATATTCTTTCTCTATTAATGCCACTGACTTAAGCACGGGAAATAACTTGCATTCTTTCTGGCATCAGGATACTTTTCTTTATTCTTTCTTGTGATAAAGATTTGGTCAATATATGTACTGGCCTTTATGGCATCTTAAGTTTTCTGGCGTTTCATGATTGCGGTAATATGAATCCAACGCACAAGACATACTAGAAGGGCTGCACAATAAGATGGTCGACACCATCAAAGTGGTCAACCCTCATTATCTTGAGCTCATCAACAAATGAATAATTTCAATTCACAAGTTGTATCTGGGTCAACAATCGTGCAATTTCAAGTTCACGCTTATGTGTCTTTGATTTGATTCAAAATGGTTATTGATTAATCATTGTTAAAGCAAACCATATTCTAGAATTTTCTAGTCAAGGTGTTAACGTTGGTTTGAATCACTAATGACTCTCAGTTGTCAATATAGGACAATGTTAGGCTTAAAATGTTCTCAAAATTTATATCAGAACGAGAAAGAGTTAAATTATTCTTATAACCTAACCCAGAATTCAGGATTGACAGTTCCTGAAACTCTTTGAAATGAGAGTAATGATTATCCATTAATCCCAATATGCATATATTCCCATAGCCTACATGAACACAATGTAAGGCTTAAAACGGTATGCAAATATCAGAAAGAGCAGAGAGTATGCGACCGTTATCATAGAAATTATGTTTATGATTTGAAAATTCACAAATGCCTGAAACTCTTCGAAATGCTCAAATTCCTAATTGTCAGGATGACATAGAGAAGGCAAACATACGAGAGTACACAAGAACCACCGGTTCACTCTCTCAATTCTCCAGGAATAAGGCAGTATATAGTTTCATAAGTTCTCGTTCATGCAGAATCATGCTTCGCAACAACTAATTAACTAGAATCACAAACATCAAGAAGGACAAGACTATTTCATAAGACAGCCTTTGAATATTTCATCATAATGATCAATTAAATCTGTATGATAATCTACATGACAGCTGAGAACAATGTGTACAAAATTGAATCGGCACCATTGAAAAGAATTATTGGAAAATTGCTTCTATAAAGAATATCCTGATTTACAACTCCAAGGTCAAAGAATGTCAAAAATATACAACCACGATTACAACTGAGTCTCTATGATCTCTTCTTCAGCCGTTGGTATAAAAATCCCTCAAAGAATGGTCAATAAAGACTAAATGCTGCTGCCCTACCGACATAAACCAGCTTCCACCTCTACTGCATCCGTTAATGCATCTAAGTCTCAAAACACCTCTACCAACTAGCTCTGAATGAGATACTGTCTTCTCCTCCCAGCATAACAACGATCACGAAACTACCAGGCAGAGTCAATCCTAAGAGTTAATTGGTTGCCTACATTTCAGAAATTAGACAATCAAATATAGTGCCCCAGCTGAATCAGCATCACGCTAATATCATCAGATGAGCCTCGAGACACAGAAAGGTCGACAAGCCTTCTACAGGCAAACAATGGATTTGTCTTATTGATGCCTAGACATGAAGAACGAGCAATGTCAACTGCTTCCTGATTACTAACCTGAAAAGAAGGAAGAAAGAATTTATTTAGATTGATACGAAAAATTATCTACTGTAAAGATTGTAAAGATATGAGGTACTTTACAAAAGAAAAAACTTCAACAACCTACCTTATCCCATAAGCCGTCAGAGGCTAATATTAAGAACTCGCATTCAGGTTTGATACTAATGATCTTCGTCTCTGGCTCAGCTATTACCCACTGTTTAAGGTGCTGATCTCCAATCCCTCTGGAGACAGCCAGACAACCCTGAATCCTCCAAACACCACGGCATAAGTCCACATAGCCACCCTGTGAAAACAATTTTCACACAATGCATCAGTCACAGTTCAGATCAAGTTCGTTTCGAAATGCACATAATGAAATAAAACTGTGAAACAAAGCAAAGGTCATTGATTTATTGAGAAACTGCTTACCAAAGTCTCAATTCTGTTCCGTTCATCCTCCCTTGAAGGTCGGTGATCAGAGGTGAGAGCTTCAGCGACACCACCTCTGCTCAAAACAGCACGACAATCACCAGCATTCGATACAACAAGGTTTCCATTTTGGATCAAAGCTGTCACACAACATGTGCCACCAGTGACGTCTTCCTTAAGAAACTCAGCATCTGTCTTCAAATAACCTTCTTTAACAGCTTCCTTTACATTAGTTTTGTCTCTTCTTCTAACAACTTCATCTAAAATGTTCTTCTCCAATTTCTGGGCTGCAAACTCCGCAGCTTTAGCACCTCCATGTCCATCAAAAACACCAAAAAATGCCTGCAATTATCATATAACACCATATAAGTCCCACCAACTTAAAATTCATTGAAAATCAAATTTATATTTTGATGCCAAACCCTGGACTTAATTTAAAATCAATTACACTATCTATCTTTTCTTCTTTGTCATTATTTCAAACAAAATAATAAAATTAAAAAAAAAAGACAGAAACCGTAAAAATACCTGTTTGGAATCTCCTTGGAGTTTAACAGAAGCTGAAAACCTATCTTCCATTGCCTCTCTCCTCCCTCTTTTACAGTAAACAGAATATCCATTTCCCTCTCTCTCCACCTCTCTCCTCACTTCACACGGCGTCGCCGGAACTCCAAAATACATCGCCGTCGTCGCCACCGGTATATCCAGCCTCGCCGGCCTCTTCCTCTTCAAAATCGTCGAGACTGATACCGGTCCCGGACCTGATGACGATGACGTTGAAGCAGATGAAGAAGACGATAACAAAGACCCAGGCGGCGGCTTTTGAAGCCGAAGCCTAAAAGGCGACGAAGGTGAGGAAGGAGCCGGAGAAGCAGGAGAAGACGAAGGTTTGAGGTGAGTCAACGTTAAATTCAAAGCTTCGGACGACGGACAGATGATGGAGGCTTTGTTACAGAAAAGAGACGACGACGGAGAGAACACCGGTGAGTTAGATACGGCTATTGAACACGACATCGTGTTTTTCTCTTTCAAAGTTTTCCTTGTTCGTTTTTGTTACAACGTTCAAATTTGGGTTCGTTTTGTTTGATGATTTCTCTTGTTGTTAGCGGTTGTGTCAGAGAGACAAGGGAATATATATAGGGGGAGGTGCTTGGAAGGGTCACCGCTTTCCGTGTTAATGGCGGACAGGTGGAGAGAGGTTATGGTTCAGAGATTTTGACCACTGACTTTTGACTTTGAAGCACTCCTTTGTTTTGTTTTGTGGAAAGTCAAGG